ATACTTACAGACGATCCCATACGTATACTTACAGACGATCCCATACGTATACTTACATGATTAGAAGTAGTTCAAACCACGTGACGGACTTTTGAGTTCAAATTCAGGGACCCATAGATAAATAGAACCATTCATGAGAAAACTTGCCTGCCTTGACCCCAAATATCCCCACCTTGTTGTGCCAAACCCAACGCCCCTCCACCCCCACCTTGTTGTGCCCAAATCCAACGCCCGTCGTTGTGTTGATGTGCCGATGGAATGAAATTGTATGACGTAAATCAGATACATATTATTCTGCCTTAGGCGCAACAAATCAAGGGTTTAAAGCAGAGCAGAGTAGTGAACAAATGTCATCATCCGGAGACATCAAAACATCGAAATCATGCGTTGAATGGTTTGTATTCTGTGATGTCACACAGGGGGAGGGTTAGGGCGCCCCGCCCCCCCCCAACCCGCCACAACCTAGGAAATTTTCGACGACTACCTGAATTTAGTTTTGCATCATTCTGCACTTAATAGGAGAGCAACAGATGCGATGATATTTGAGATTGATTTCCTCTGGGTAAGCATTAATCGCACTTTTCGCTAACCTTACCCTGAAAATGCATTTCACTTTCAGATGATGAGAAAGAGATAGTATGGGGGCATGTCCTGCAGCATCGAACACACTTTACTATTTTATGGGTAAAATTAATAAGATTTTTCTGTTTCTTAATGTTTTCCCCCCAAAAATGTCTGGATTTTTTATTCATATTTTTTCTGGGTTCCGCCTTCTTCTAAGTCCCTAAGCACGTGCTTACATTACTTACTGGTTATTATAATTGTTTATTAGGGGCCTGATGACATTGCAGTTTGTAAACGATCACACATTAATTAATGAATCTCTACTTTTGCTAACATTTAGTTGGATAACATTGCCAAAAGGGTTATACTAAAAAAAAAATGCTGACAGAATCCACACTTTTTTCATTTTTTTACTTTCCTCTTGCTTATCTTTTTCCTCTTCCGTATCTCCCCCTTTTTGTTGGAGTGGGAGGGAGGCACCCACAACCCTTTGCCTGCACCAATGGAGACGACACACAAGGTACTACGAATATAAATGTAATAAGAAAACTAAAAAAAAAACATTAACAAAAAGACGTCTATCTAAGACGAGTTAAAATGCACCACCAACCCCCCCCCTACCCAACCGTTCGCTCAACCGCAAAGCAGCCGCGGTCAACCACGATAATTTGAGAGACAGTGCCAACCCGTCTCCGTCGACCCAGATTTCCAGCCGTTCACCAGGTGAACACTGCACGAGATCATAAAATGTCACGTGTGTATAGAACAAAAACAAAATTTAAAAAAAATATTTTAAAAATAACGCGCCATCCACACTCAAGATGGAAAGGAGAGGAGAGAAAAAGTCTTTATAAACAAAAAAAAACAAAGACACACGAAACGTATTAACTCTCTGGAGTTGCCCCATATTTCTCTCTGGTGGGGGGGGGGGTGCCCCGTTACTATTCTGGTGATTCCCCATTCCCACTCTGGTGGTGCCCCCCCCTTCAGTCTCTGTCAGTGTCATACTCCCATCTACCGGTTGACTATTCTTTCCTGTTTATAAGCAATTTTTTAAGACTTCATTTATTTTGCATTAAAAGCTATCTCCATATCTGAACCCCCGGCTTCATGACCTTACCGATGCCTATAACCCTTATGACCTTACCGATGCCTATAACCCCTGCGACCTTATCGATGCCTATAACCCCTATGACCTTAACTATGCCTATAACCCCTGCGACCCTATCGATGCCTATAACCCCTATGACCTTACCGATGCCTATAACCCCTACGACCTTACCGATGCCTATAACCCCTATGACCTTACCGATGCCTATAACCCCTATGACCTTATCGATGGTTATACCCCTATGACCTTATCGATGCCTTTAACCCCCATGACCTTATCGATGGTTATAACCCCTATGACCTTATCGATGCCTATAACCCCTATGACCTTATCGATGCCTATAACCCCTATGACCTTATCGATGCCTATAACTCCTTTCCTCGATGTTTCCTCACATGCCTATCATATTTTCTGTTTTATTGACAAAACAACAACAACAAAGAAAACCATGCCAAAAAAACAAAACTATTTCTGGTAACTTATTTTCTTCCTCTGCCCCCGTCTATGTCATCACGATGACACATCAAGTGGCATCCTCGCTTACTACCAGCCCTAATAACTCTGTGCTTGGAACGGTGTTGGTTCTAACGACAAAACCAGCCGTCTTCGAGAAGGAAAAACAAAAACAAAACAAACACAAAAAAAAAAAAAAAAAAAAAAAAAAAAAAAAAAAAAAAAACAGAAAAAAAAACCACAAAAATAAAAAAAAAAAAAAGAAAAAAAAAAAAA